AGAAGCATAGATTCATAGGGATGAGCACATATGTACATTTAACAGACACAACTCCCTCACTCTACACAGTGCATGTTCTCATATACAAGAACATAACCTGAAGATGAAAGCACTTGAAGTAGCATTTCACAAACACGATTGCTCAAAGAAAGCATTATTCTGGTCAATTTTCAGTTTTTCAAAAATGTCCTCACATGATGGAACTTAATTTTAAAAAGGCAACAAAAGAAAGAAAGAAAAACAAAACGTAGAGGTGTATGACATTTGTTCAGATACATTCTGTTTACAGGCCTTAAAGGACTATTTTGTTCTATGTAATGCTATTATTTTACCTTTAAAAGAAACTACCCTGTAATAACAGTAAATAAGACTTTAAAATATTTTCAAGGCCCTGAATTGAGATATCTTTAGACCACTTGTCTGGGCCTGGAGCTACCCAGATCTCAACAGCAAGTTGCTTTTCTCACTTCACTATCATCCCTCTTTTCTCTCTTCTCAGTTTCACAGATTTTGCCTTCCCACTTTTGCACAGTTGCAAATATAATCATGTATACACATATGCTAATTAATCCAACAAAAAATGAATCGGCTATTATTGGATAAGTCTATGCATGTATTTAATATGCTTACTTGCATGCTCACACTCATACATACCGACAAACAAAGAAACGGATATACTTCACGCTTTTTGAAAATGTTAATGACTTGGACAGATATGCAGAATCTGCTTCATAATTATTTTTCTTCTCATATATCAGCATAACTTCCTTTACACACATTATATATGCAGAAACAATTTCCAGTTGCCCATTGTGACAAAGACACACAGAAGTCAGAAGCTCAATTTGTTTGATGAGAGGCCTTATCAAGCCCTCAGAGAGGATTCTGGGTAAAGAGCATGGGAGATAGGAAGGAGACACACATAAGCGGAGGATAAATTACGCGTGGGACTGAACCATCCATCCTAATGAATTGTGGTGAAAAAAGTGGTTTTGATGTGGACTTGGCTGCCTGAAGATGTTTTGCCATTGTCAGCGCTAATTAATCTGTATCACGAGAGACGAGAGGAACTTTTGAGAGGCCTCTTTTTTCTCCCAACGCTTAACACTTCAAACACACACATATATGAACACACTGCCAAAATACTTCTGAGACTTGCTTCCACTCATACAGCAGTAAGAGCACACACTGTACATGCACAACCTAAGTATAACCCCGTTCACGACATGACTTACCTTCACTTTGAACAAAAAGTGAAGGTTTAAACATTTAACAGGTTCTTAGAAGCAACAGTAACCCAGTCACGCACACAGTTGCAAAGAAGCTGAAGATGACAGCTTGCAGACCGAATTAAGAGCAGGGGCTTTTCCCACTGTGCTGTAATCTGTCGAACAATAGTGGAAGGGAGGTAGATATGGGTAGAGGGAGGTAGTTAGAGAGAATTTAAAGAGGGGGAGGTTGAGAGACCCGACAGAGGAAGAAAAGTCCTCCTCTCTAAAACAAGAACGACTATAAATTGAGTGAATGTGGGAAAGGTGCACCACTTATGTTTCCTTATATATATGTTGTGTATAAGTATAGCTCATCTCCTTTATTATTTATTCATGGCAGCCATATTCCTTCTTCTGTGAACACCAGAGCTTTTACTTTCCCCTTATGACTCGTTCCCTCTGTGCCTCCATTGCTGCCCTCCTCCTTTACCTCCCTCTGAGATTTATTTTCTTCAGGACCTCTCTGCCCTCTTTTATTAAGCTTGCTATTTCTTTTATTTACCCACCGCTGCGTCCCCCAAAGGAAAAATCAGCTTCTTTCCTCTTTCATTCCATAAATCCATGGACATTCCCTTTCCCCCCCTACACTCAGCCGGGGGGCTTGTTGTGGAGGAAGCTCATGTTGGATGTCAGGGGAGCACATATGTGTGTGTGTGTGTGTGTGTGTGTGTGTGTGTGTGTGTGTGTGTGTGTGTGTGTGTGTGTGTGTGTGTGTGTGTGTGTGTGTGTGATGGTAGGAGGGGATGGGGAGTTTTCTCTGCTCTCCTTGCCTCATCATGTGGCTCATTACCTCCAGATGCCGGGCCCTATGCGGCTCCTCCCCTATAATCCAACTCGACACACACTCACATAATCCTTCACACACAAACAAAGTTACTGAAAGGAGAAAGAAACTCCAAGACTACAACTATGACCCACAGCGGTGGACACTTCACAGAGATGGAGAGGAAAAGTGTGAGAGAGATGAGAGTTGGGCAGTGGAAATATAGAAGCATAGAAAAGGAAAGCCAAGAGTCTGCTTTGAACACATCAGAAGAGCATTTGTGCAAAGACCCCTTTCCCTCCTCTCTTTCCTGCTCTCTTCCCAATCCACTCGTCTCACCAGCCTGTCATCTCTCGGTGCATGAAGCGCGAAAGAATACAATGGCTGGCAATACGTGCAGAGTGAGACCTCTGTGAAAATGTGAGTGTGTGTGCGTTTGCTGAAGGTGCATGTATCAGAGTTAAGAACACAACATGGTTTTACACCTCTATATAAAAGTGTATTATGCGTGAGTACAGCTCCTCTTTTTAGGTGTTGTCAGCAATTTACGATCCACTTTACATTTTAATGTCACTAAAACTCCTTCGCTCACCTCTTCTCAATCCCTCTCTCTAATCTCTCTTTCTGCAGAGTACACCTATACAGTATACCTGTAGTCAAAACGCTCTGCTCATACGCTCCTCGGTACCCCCATATCTAATCTCCTTTTGTGAATAAATTGGCTATTTTTATGAATTTGACTTTAACTGACCCTAGTTCAAACTCTAACTGTGCTCCCGCTGCTTCTCCTTTCTCCTCCTCCTTCTCTCTCTGTCTCTCCTCTTCAGTGTGGAGCATGATTTCCGACAGCAGGAGGGACACTTCCAGGGGGTGATGGAGGCCCTGGATGTGGAGTATGATGTGCCTGCATTGACTCTGACCAAGCCCACCCTAGCCCCTTCTTCCGCAAGTCGTCCCAGCACCAAGGCGCGTGTCAAGAAGCTCCGTAAGAAGTGTTTTTGGTGGCTGTAAAATCTGGGAAAAAGCACCTTTCCAGGCATATGGGTGTAGCAGGAGACTACAGGCCTCAAACTTGTGGAACATAGCGTTCCCCTCCTGGTCTCCTGGTCTCCGGGGTGTGACATGTGTTTCAGTGTCATTTAAATCAGTGGTGGCTTTTTTTTTTTAAGCAGTATCCCTGTAAATGGCACTTTTCCCACAGCAATGCATCTTCAGCTCTGCAAAATATACACTACAGGACGAAGTAGAGAAAGAAAATGGGGATCTGCTGAACTTTGTTCTCTGATATACCCAAGAGGGTTATTGAGGACGACCATGACCCTCCCTCTGTGGGACTCAAGCAGCTAATATGAGATTCACTTTTGACTCAAAGTGAGGATACTGTTCTCCGATTATAATTAAAAAAGAGATGAAGCATCAAATCTTTGGATGACAGACAGGAGTATTATTTTTCACTTGGCTGAGTGGTTGGTGAGGCATATGGACAGATGTATGAACGGATTTATCCAAAGATGGATTCACGCTACAGCTGGGAAATAATCCCCACATCAATCTTTTCTGAATCCCAGCTATAAGCACTGGTATCAGAATGATTTTGATGATCCAAGCAATCTAACAACAAATCGGAATACTGTGAGAGCCAACATGAATGTAGCAACGACTGAATAGCTAAAGAGGACATATGTGGGACAGAATGATGCTCTCTGGAAACAAACAGCTCGCTGGATGGATATTAGGGTTTGGAGAGCACAGTGGCCCGTGTTAAGAATACATTAAGAGAAGAAGTGATAGGCAGCACGCTGATAGACCTTTTCAAATGATAAAAAATGCTGTCAGCGTTGTTTGACAGAGTGATTGATTCTCACCTTTGACCATCCAAAGTGGAAGTGTTTTGATGTAAGCTCAGTCTTGTTTTAAGGATTTCACACAAACATACACGCACACCCTAACACACACACATTTTGAACCAATGCAAACTAGGGGGTAGAACAGTTAGTTATTGGCCTGTACTCATGTTTCAAATGTGTATCAATACATGCAAAGCCTAAGCTAATACAGCACCTATACATTCTGTATGATCACTGTGAGACTAGCTGTGTATTTCTGAAGCTTTGCTTAAGTTGACGTTGCAAAAATCATGCAGCGGAATGCTTTGTTGTTGTGCAACATATGGAGAGCCAGACATAATCTGTTTCATGTGATTTAGCACCCATCAACTGTGACTGCAGTTTCACAGTGAGTACATGCACTAAGTTACCCAGTGAATTGAACAGAATAAAACGCTTTTTTTAAAGCTATTCCTCAATAACAAACATGACCTTGTTCACATAAGATAAACATCTGGTTCATTAAGCTATAATAAAGCAACCAAATGCTAAAATCATTCACACACATCTTAACAAAATAGACAGAACATCTGTATTTTTATCAGGTGAAGCTACTTTATCCTATTTTAAAGTTAAGTTGTACCAATACATGTGTTAATGTATATCATAGCAAAATGTGTGGGTTAATATACAGTATTTTTTCACAAATGATATATTGGCAGACTACTAGTGTCCATCCCTGTTGGAAACACACCCACATCATTATTTCCCCCACAAACACACAGCATTTGCACACTGCTTAGCTCACAGCAGTTTAGAGGTTTACCACGACATCTTAAAAGGACCTACTCCAGCTGCTTCTGGCTGACAGGTTGCCACCAATTAGACCACTGGATGACACCACACTCACTACTTAACCCAACAGTGTGTGAGCTCCCACAATCCCCCTCTCTTCCTGATCTTCCTCTTGTATGTACAATAAAGTGTGTATTTTAAACAAAATGTCATTGTGTTGAAATACTTTGTGTTTCAAAATGAAGTCATATAGCAGACAAGAGTGGATGGGGGTCGGTCTTTATATGAATACATTTGAAAGAGGTGAGAAAAGAGAGGAGGTTCTGCAGTCCTTTATGTACTTACGATTAGGGCGTGCTCTCTTCCCATCGTGATGACCGTCCGGTTGATGATCCTCAGCAGAGACACCACAATGTCCTGCACATGTTGAAAGGTTTCACCCTGAAAACAAAAAGCAGAGTTAAATGACGGGAATACTGGAGAAAGATGGAGAGAGAAGTATAGACAAGGAACCATAATATTGTTAATACACACAAAAACAAGAACAGCTGCAGAACAGAATCCGGTTCTGTTGAATCAGCTTCCTCTCAGGCATAACATCAGATCCATCTCAGAAACTTTTGGTTTGTTTTTGTTGCCGTTTTTCCCTCTCATGAACTCTCCTCACAGCAAAAATAACCAAGTTTGCACACACAATAAAAAGATTCACTCGGGCTCTGAATGGATGATTGGCAGATCAAATGAAACAACAAAGAGAATCAAGTTACAAGTCGGTTCACTTTTTAGGAAGAGGCCTCACCAGGACATTCAGTTAATCATCCTCAGTGTGGACATTTGAACCTCAAAGGCACGTGGATGTGGATTTTTGTGCAGACCTGCTTTCCTATTCCTATCTTTTCCTTTCCTTTGAAGCCACTTTTCTGTCAGCTTTCTTCTCCTCCATCTGCCCAGAGGCAAACAAGGAGGAGAAGATGTATCTAACAGTCTGTGCTTAAACCTTTCCCAAGGCAAATGACTTTCTTTCTCCTAGTTAAAATATAGCAATTATTTGTCATGGCAAGTGTTGTTAAACTGGCACATATGGTTGGTCTTACTGTCTGGAGCTGGAAAGGGATGTTTTTTTCTAGCAATTTTGTTGTTTTATGAAGCAAAAGAAAACATTGTGGATAATATTTCAGGGGTCAGTCATATTAAAAGCAGGCTTTGACAACCAACACAAATAAACATAAAAAGGAGTAGGCAGTGGTATACTGTATGAAAAAACTCACATTGTGACACCTTACAGTATGTCAAATACCTCAAAAGGGGTAGCCAACACGTTGCCCCTGCGGGCACTTAGTCGCCCGCAGGGCCAACGTGAGTCGCCCGCGGGGCATGTTCTAAAAATAGCTCGCCAAGCAAATCCAAAATGTAAAAAATACACAAAACAAAAAAGGAAATGTAATTAAAAGAATCTACCCTATGCATAAACGAAAACTCAATCATAGCGAACTCTATCTTTTAATACAACTCTATATCTATCTAACACCCCTCCTCCCCCCACAATGAATATCGACCAATCACGTTCTTGCTTGATTTGCGGGACCAGCGTTGCAGTCGGGAAGAAAAGCAATGTGGAGCGGAAGCTCACCGCTTCATAAGGAGTGTGACCGTGATTTTCCTTCTGGCAGAATCTACACAACACATCAGCCCCATTGAACAGCCTATCATGCCAGCCTATACAGCACATGAGGGGCAGAGTTTTACGCAATATTTATTGCACTTGACGCACACACACGCATGGCGTAATTTCCACTGGGGACAAGTCCCCCCACTTTTCGAAATCCCGTTTGTGTCCCCCCACTTTACAAATATGTTTATTATTATTTTTTAACACAAGTGGTCATCGCCACGGAGGAGCACACTGCGTCTGTGAGCGAGCGAGACAGAGAGCAAGCGAGAGAGCTAGGGAGAGCACACCTTTATCTATTTAATATAGATAAAGTAAGAAATCATTCCAATGTGTACTATAGGACAGTAAAAAAAACAAAAACAGTTTAAAAGGAGAGTGATTAGTAAAATATGCATAAATAGAAAGAAAGAATGCTAACTTCTAGGTAACATAAGATAAGAATAAACAAGTTTAAATGATTTGTTATTGGCTGCGATCATATTCTAAAGATGATTGGATCATTGAAAAGTATACAGCTCTCTTTCATCTGTGTTGAGAGCTCTATCCATAAATTCATGTTGTGCTCAAAGTGCACCAGATTGATGCTTTCAACTTCAGCATTTAAAAACAAATCTTCCCGGGGGTGCATGCCCCCGGACCCCCCTAGAGGAGGTGAGGTCCACCCCCAAATAAAGCAGGTTAAAATAATTTAAATAAATGTTCTTTTAGTAAACACTGAAAACCGGTCCCACAGACCCAAACAGCACACAAAGGTTAAAGGTAAGCATATAAATATGTTAAAATGCAACAAAAAAAAAAGACAAAAATTAAAAAAATTAATAAAAAAAATAAATAAATAAAAAAATAAATAAAAATGTGCTAAATATATACACTGCAAAAAACAAAAAAAGAGGAGTAAAAGTAGCCTCCGACTTGTTTTATTTGTTTATAGTAGCTCTCATCCTAAAAAAGGTTTAGATGTTTTAGGTAACACTTGTACTATGAATAAGATGACCCATGGTCAAAGATGTTCTCCTTATTTTGTTAAGCAATATAATTGAGATCCATTGTCCTGTAACCCAAACATTATTGCCACCATTCATCTGTATTGTTTTAACATTGAATATGCAGAAAGCAGTCTTTAATAAGATAACTACGGAGCCCTGGAGGGTTCATAGAGAGAAAAATAAATAAAACGTGGCCACGTTTTACTTTCTCGTGCGCACGAGTTACTAAAGCGTGCGCACGAGTTACTAAAGCGTGCGCACGAGTTACTAAAGCGTGCGCACGAGTTACTAAAGCGTGCGCACGAGTTAATAAAGCGTGGCCTCGTTTTGTGTGTGTGTGCTGTTTGGTATTTTGGTTTGTCAGAGCTGGAAGACGGGAGATGAGGCACAATGCTCGTTCCCTCTCCTGCAAAACACAAAGATGTCGATACTCTGTTCATGTATTCCAAACTGTACTGGTTTACCTTTCGCTGGCAAAATAATGTGAAAATAACCGTTTTGGGAATAGGTAAAAGAAAAAAACGAGGAAGTCTGGGTGAGCCATTCTTACTGTCTCTCTCTGTTTGCATCCTCCCTCTATCCCTCACATACACAAACAAGACTGACTTATACATTAAACACAAACTCTCCTAGAGCATCTGTCTTTTGTTTTGTCTTCTCTTACATCTAAGCTTTTTTTATGCTTCGCTCCCCAGTTTGGAGAAATCTGTTGTGCAACAACTTAATCAAGTACCAACCTGAGCGAGAGAGAGAGACAGCTGGGTGGGAAACAAAAGGAGAGGGGATGAAAATAAGTGATAGAGGGCCAGAAGGCGAGACACTGAGACAGTCTCACATCACCCATGTCTTCCTCTAATGAAGCTTAGCGCAAGTTCATCCAAGGAAGACCTTCTTTACTCATTCATTCACTATTTCCATGTTACTACTCTCTCTCCTCTCAATAAGTGATCGGGGGCGTCACTCCCCAGCTTAACCAATCACTTCGCTCTATTCTCACAAGCCTATCATAGCGCTCCGCTAAACCTTTTAAATCTGCTCTTCCCTCTGACAGCTCTCATTCCAGGTAAATCGGCGCAACCCTCCTCCACCCCTCTTCACCTCCCGTCCATCTGAATCCAGGGTCAAGCTAAGCCACTCCTCTTCAGACCGACCCCAGCTATCCATTCACCACCACCAGTGTCTAGACCCCGGGGGATTTCATCGGATCGGTTCTCCCTTCCCGAATGATATTCCTGCACAACGGGGCCTAATCGCCAAAACTCCTTTACATTCATGTGTATTTCTGGCAATAAATATGTACTCTTACATCAAAATTGTCTCTCCTGATTCAATTTCTGTTGTTTTCTTCCATCTGTTTTCTTGCACCCTCATTCCAATTTCAGACTGTCATTTCTCTAGTTTAGTGCATAGTTGTCTTGTAGAACCCCTCCACCTTATTAGTGTAGACATAAACCCTCTCACTTCTGTCTGTTTAGCTTGTAATGCTCTCTCTCTCTCACCATTACATTCAATGTTTTTCATTCTCCCTGATTGGCCATTGGCATTATTCATCCATCTGGCTTTTTCTCCTCTTCTTAATTATTTCCCTTCTTGCAATGCATAGGTTTTGCCGGTCAGGGTTCTCATTAAACTCTACCATGCAGTCTAGCAAAACACACTCTAGATGGTGTGAATATGTACTGAATTAAATCCAGAAATAAATATCAGAACTAGTGCTCACTCTGAGTGTGTGTTTTGCTAAGAGTCTTGACACTTATAGGTAGTCTATCAGTAGACATTTTCCCTAATGCCATATAAAGCATGTATTAGACGTAGCTTTACTGGCATTGTTGTTTTTACATTAATATGTTTGTACCTGTCATGTCCCTTTGAATCTCAGCTACAGCCTGTTTTCTTTTGTTATACCGCAACCGGCACAAGCTAATGTCATCATATTGTACTGCATTCATTCATTACTTCTCCCTCTCCTCTCCTGTTTCGGCTCATGCTTAATTACAGATATCCAGACAAATAGAGCTGAAAGAAGAGCCACACCTTCACTTAAAAAACCCAGCAGGTTGCCAATACCTTGCAAAAGCAATTTAAAAGACCTCAGATGGATTCCATTGATGTATTTGTTCTGTGTGAGTATTAAAGGTGTTTCAACAGACTAGTATGCGGCACAATCAATTAGATTTGAATTGGTCAAGGCCTGCACTATTGCACAACTGGAGGACTGGAAACAAAACAGCTTAAGGCTATTTACTTTATTCTTTAGGAGACAAATTGCACTGGGCAGGCACAGAGCTCAGGGGCATTACACATTCATCCAGTGATCCTTAAAAGATAAAGAAAAGGTTTTTTAGTTCCTGCCTGCATTGTTTTACTTTAACACTTTACTAATACATATCCTGTGTAAGAAGGTTTAATGTTATATGAGAGCAAATAATGCTTAAAGTTCAGTTATAGGTTGTTTGTTTATTGGTCTGCCTCAGCGGTAATAATCTAGAATGTATTATTGTGGTCATTGGCACATTTATAGTTTAAACCAGTCGAAACCTATGTTGTTGCGGCCCACTTATGGCACTTTAGTTGCACCTCAAATTACCATTGGTATTTAAACATATCAGGAAACTGTAAGCGTTCAGCCAAACAGCTGTTGAGGTAATGGGATTGCTTTCGGCCTATGGAGTAAAACTACACAGAAGAAGAAATGAAAGAAGTTGTTAGGAAATACAATGAGGGAGGTAATGATGTAGAGAGATAGTCTGAATCACATAGGAACTTGGTGTTAATATACGCTGTGATTGAGTTTATAATATCTAGCTAAACTATATTCAAATGTCAACAAAGAAATTGGATCCCAACATGTTCTCAGAGTATATTGGATGTGTTCAACGCTGTCTAATTTGAAACAATCACCCGGAATGCAGTGTAAACATTTCCATTATGTGTTCTTTACTATTAAATAGCTCTATGTCTTACCACACTGTCCCGGCTGAGGACCTCCAGAATGTTGTTGAGCAGCTCCAGACTATTTCTCCTCTCATCGTGAGGCCCGTCAGCCATGCTGGCAAGTGCCCCACCCAACTCCCGCAGCATCATGGGTAACAGGACATCACGGCACTCTGCGAAGAAACAAAACCAGCGATGGTTCAAAATGACAGGTTTAATAAACAAGTCTGTAAGAAAAATGAAGTGCCAGACAGCCTATTTGCAAGAGTGATGTATTACTTGCATCTTTTAGGCAGGCCAATAAAAGATGCGAGTGTCTTAAGATGTTTAATCACACACATCAACAGTCAGAGCCTTAAGATTTACATTTATGCAGGTCCTCTCTGAAAAGCCCTTTAATACCTCAACCCTGGACCCTTACATCAATTGGTGCGGCTCCTCTGGAGACAGCCTTGCCCGCACACTTTGAGTAATGATGCAACTGCAGCATGAAGAAGAAATGTAACCGTAACCCAAGACTTCACAATGAGGTGGTATCAATCAAGTGTCTATTTATAGTGCCATGCATGTCTGCTGCTCTGTCAGCTGAACAGACAACTCATCAATCGCTGTGGCCAAATGTTTCTCTGTGCCATCTATCTGATTGATCATAATCTCTCTTTAGCCTCTGTGTTAACTGTATCTCACAAGTGGAGCATCGTCAAAAAATGATATCATTTCATTACGTCAAAGTCGAGAACACTTAAGTGGGAACATAACACAATTTCTGATCAATGCAGCCCACAAAATATGACTGGTTGGATTTATTGTACAGTGTGTTGGTTAAAAAATGACTCCAGAAACCAACATGTATATACATGTATCCACAAACACTGAATGTGAGTGTTACATGATATGTGCCCTTTTTTGAATGGGTCATACATCTTCTATAAAGTTATTGCGATTTCAATAATAAGGTAAAGGCTGGTAGCTTGCATTCAAATAATAGGATTAAATAATGTGCACATAGTGTTGCTCATTTGTGTTTTATGGCATACCTGGCATGGGATATCCAAATTTAAACAAATGTAACTTATCTCAAGGTCAGATATCAATAATCAATTGCCAATACCAAAACGACGCAGTTACAAATGTACAAAGTAAGGAAACGGTGATTGCTAAAAACTGATCTTTATATTTTTCATTTGTCTACCTTGACCTCTCCCTTTCTTGTCTCATTCTTTTTTAAACATTCTACCCCCTAGCCTCCTCCACCCATTCCTCTCTTGTAGCCGCAGGTAGACAGAGCCCATTAAAAGCTCATTTGAGCTTATGCTCGTTAGTTCCATTATTTACTGAGCCAAGCTTATAGGCCTGCTGAGTGGACCTTCATCACAACACACACACACACACACGCACGCACGCACGCACGCACGCACGCACACGCACGCACACACACACACACACACACACACACACACACACACACACACACACACACACACACACACACACACACACACACACACACACACACACACACACACACACACACACACACACACACAGGAAAGGGGGGTTAAGAGAGACAGTGAAGGGGAGATACATGAGTCGCTAAAAGCCCTCATGACTCAGAAAAATGGAGGCAGAGGAGGGGGCTGGACAGGTAGAGTAAATCCAACATTCACGATAAGTGTGGAAGACAAAAATAAGTAGTATCTCAGTGCCACGCAATTCAAAAGATTACCATTATGTATAATGTAAAACCTGAAACAAAGATGTGTCTTTAACCGAAAAAGACAGAGGGCTCCTGTTCTGTGGCTGTAGAGATGGTGCTTAAAAATCTGTTTAATCCATCACAACAGAAATCATCTTTTGTCCTTTCCGATAGAGAAAACAATAGGTTATGTTTTATAGCAGTAGTGTTGTGTGTGCGAGAATTAATCCATCTGCCTTCTGGGTGCTGGATGAACCACTAAACCGGAGTACAAATTCATTCCCTGCTGAAATGACCCCAAAGCCACATGTTTCTTTATTTCTATTGATCTAAGAAACTAAGCCAGCTGGTGTTTATAGGTACAACATGTTCAGGGGAGCGAACATGAGTATATAGCAGGGGGTGGTTGGTTTGAAATGGTATCCTGTTGTACGAAACATCGCATGCTTTTTGTTTTACTGTGTCAGGAGCCAGGCTTGATGAAAATATAACAATGATAGCAGGCTTCAAGGTCTACTATGTTTACAATGACCCTATATAAATGTCAAGGACGATGGAAGAACCCATTTACTCAAGCCTCAGGCCTGACATTACTGCAAATGGAGTGTAACATTTAATATAATGTACACACATACTGTACAGGCTAGATGGGCATCTAGCTAGCTAGTTTTACACTTAATGACGAGAGAGAACGTGCGTTTATATTTCTTTAGGGTTATAATCTTTTGTTTTGAGTTAGGAATAATCAGTCTCACTTTGTATCTTCCTCCTCTTGGGCAACACAAAGAGTGAAGCCTGGGTAAAACAAAATGAGGCAGAGAAAGAAAAAGAGATAGTAAATAAGGAATAAATAAAACTAGACTATTGAGACTTAATCTTATGTCCTGTTTCATTGTGATTATTTTCTGAATGAAGAAAATGTTTGGTAATATTCAGGTAGCAGGCATACTCATGCAATGTACTTGAACCTTCTGCATTTTCATTGTCTACCAACAGTGACACCATCTGCTTGACTCATTAACTTTCTACAGAGCGTGCTGACACTGGAAGATTATATATTTTCACCAATTTCAATAGTGATGGAAAAACAACTAGAGTCTCACGCTTTTTCGAATACACTCTGTTTAACCTGTGCTCTCCTGGGAAGTTTCTTATGCAGCGTAAAACACCTCAGTTCAGTCAGCAGCAGCTTCCCCTCTTAAACCTCTGAAAAAGTATTTTTAAAAATACATTATAACTCGCTCATCTCCAACATCCTACTTTGATGGATCTGATGAGGTGTGAATGGTCTGTTTTGATTTTACCTACATTCCCTTTCCCATCATGTCTCTGGAGCTCCTGAATATGAACTGATTCGATGATATAAGTACAGACTGCCTTTGTAATACATCTCTGCGGCTGATACTCTTCAGTCAGCGATGTGGAACAGTGCCTTTCACTTTGCAGGTATTTCTCTGCACTTCGCCTGGCTTGGAATAACATCAGGAATGTTAATATCTTCTGCTTCAGCCTCAACCGAAGCTCTCTCAGGGACTTATTTGAACTACAAGGAGGTCCTCTGGGCTTTCAGTCTTGTAAGAACAGCAGCTACGTTGGTGTGTGCAGGTCCCAGGGTCGAGGTCATTCTTTAAGAGGGCATTTGAAACGAGGTCCATTTCCAGGAACACTTTCTCTGCAGCACTGATTGCATACTCCAAGTTCTGTGGAGAACTGTGAGTGATTGAACCAACAAAGGGATATGCAAAAAGAAGTTCTCTTCTTTAAATTAAATGATGCATCCCCACAGCGGATAACAAAATTGGTCGAAACAAACATGGAGGCTTCCTGTTTGTTTGACTCTTTAAGCCACCGGAGGTCATTTCAGTGATTTTCTTAACTGAGTCAAAACAAACTTGAAAAGTATTATCATTTTTGACTGAGTCGTTTATCAGGGAAGACAATTTCCCTTATTTGAGCTGGAGGACCTTTCATTGTCGCAGTAATTTGTTGAAATAACAAAATGACTGTTTTGGCAGATCTATTGGGTATTTAAATGCAAAAATCTTGCAAATGTTGTTTCTTCTTACAATCTGCAGCGTCTGCCAGCATATCCTCCTTTCCCTCCTCCTGGTGGATTATTCCCTCTTGTGTGTCTCTCTTTCATCATCTGCTGTGTATATTCCCTGAGTTTCCTGATTCTCTATGCATATTATAATCTCCATCTTCTCAGCTCCATCTTTTGTTTGTAATTGTTCATCTTGTTTTTGTCTCTCAGCAGATCCCACCATGGGTCTTTTCACAGCTTTCCTCTTGATTGCCATTCCCTGTTTTTCAGATCTGTCAATCAAAACTCAGCAATTTAGCATTTCAGGTAGGGTTGTCACAATATTATTTTACATCAGGATAATAACTGGTAAAATAAATTACAATACTAAAAATAAATCTGACATCTATAGACAATGTAAAAAGAAGAATGATGCTATGAGTGAAATTAAGTTTGTTTACTGTATGTTTTGTCAGCAATTAAAAACACTCATTCACTCACACATGGGGGGGGGGGCACTGGGGAAGTGAAAATGGTAAGATATTATTATAATATTTGTTCACATACTATCAAGCATTTATTACTGACATTAAATAATATTAAGATATTTAAATATCACGGTAAATCGCAACAGCCCTAATTTTCTGTGAAAGGCTTTCACCATAAACCTCAAAACAAATCGGCATCCTTCACTAGGATTGGCAGAGTCTAACCCCGGTCATGGACCTAATCCTATAACCGTAAACCATTTTTGCCAAGGTCTGTTTGGTGGAGCTTGCTAGTGGCAGCTTTGTAACAAAGCAGCCTAAAAAGAGACTCTGCCCGAGCGGCTCAAATAAGGATGAGAGGAGGGGTAGTGGCTGGGGAGAAGAAGAATTTTAGGAACCTTGCAAAAGGCACCAGAGAAAGGCATTTGATGGATACAGTTCAGTTGTTACCTTTTAGTCACATTTGAAGAGGTTTGATATGCAACATGTAACAAATAATAACATTTTCAAGCAATTTTTTCATGGCAAAGGTGTATTTTTCCCTTTCCCATTCACACCTGTGTTTCTATGTTCCACTTGCCTGTGTGATTTAGTTGCGTTATGCGTTTTATCCTGCGGTGTAACAGTGCAGCAAATCAATTCAGCCATGTTAGGGAAGAAAGCTTTGCCCAACAGGCGCTGATGGGCAAATGGAAATCAATATCTTGGGTCTAACATTGGGATGCTTTTCAACTTTTCCTCATCTGCACAGGTGCTGACGCACAACACACAACATATTCAGAGCGCGTACCAACAGAGCTTCAAGTGCTCATCTATATTCAATTGAAATTTATTTTTATTCTAGCCGTAATCTCAGCCTTTGACTAATAAAAGCAATGTGTCTCTGTGTGTCCAAGTGTGAATTGTCCTTGTTGTGTCTGATTTGGAGCTTCACTGATATTTGATGTGTGAGTTGGAATGTCTCTG